TGAGCTTTTCCAGCAATTTCTATTTTTGTCTCTGACTTATAGCACCTGCAGTTTTTTCAGTTTTTATTTAATATTGCACATTCTCTGTAAACTTGACGTCATCGAAAACTTTGCAGTCAGTGTCCTAACTCACACCAAGACCTAATCACCAATCACACTTGTTCTTGCAAACTTGATTTTAAAAATTCACATTCTTGTTTACAAATCCTTCATGACTTCTATCTTCTCTATCTTGAATCTCCAGCCCAACAACCCTCCAGCTTATCTACACATTTAATTCTGACCTCTTGAGCATCACACATTCTAACTGCTCCATGACTGATGATTGTGTCCTCAATCTCCGAGACCCAAATTTCTGGAATTCTACCAATGATTCGATACCTGTTTTCCCTCCTTTAAGGCCCAAAATCACCTTATGGTTGCTGTCTAACTTTATCTTCCAAGACTCCTGTGGAGCAGCTTAAGGCATTTTATTAAAGGCAGAATATAAATATTAGGTTTTGTTAGAATGAGACAAGAAGTAAAAGCTTATTTTGTCTTGCACATATCAGGAACTAGGACACAAGAAAAAGACTTGATAAAAGGGACACAGAGTTATGCAACATGAGAGCAGGCTATTGGTTGAGTCTTAGCATGGAAATTAGATAGATTTCTAGTTCATAAATTTCCCGAGTGTCTTACTATGTTGTTGATATCTTAACTTAGCCTTTTTGTACCTTTGTCTCAGGTATATAAATACATGCAGCTAAGACAATGGTACAACAAAGATCACATTATTGATATCAACAACATAATAAGACTCACAGGCAAGAACAAGGAAGAAGTAAGTTGTTACTGTAGTAACAAGCATAGCTTTAGCTACAGAAAAACGGTTTTGTGCCCACACAAGGAATCCTCATCACACCTTGCAGTGTGTTGCCAAATTAACCTCAACAGTGAATTGCTGGTGATGCCTTTTGAGAACAGGCTCCAGACTGTGCAACTCATTTCAGATAGAACTATACTGTCCGTGGAGCAGCAAGGCTGGTTCAGTTTCAAACACGTGCCCACGTATGAAGGCAAAATGCAGTCCCACGAATTGCCTCCCACTTCTAGGTACTGCAGTTGGTTGCCTACCAGTCAAGTACTCATACGTTTATGTTTGAGGCTCAATCTACAGCGTTAAATTCACAATTAATTTTAACCTGAAATTTCAGAGGCCGCTAGTGGACCGACCACTGGGGCCTCAGAGAAGATTTCAATGCGTTGCCATGAGTCTGGAGTAGCACATAAGCCAGCATCCAGATTTTTTGAACTAATCAACTGAGTGAGTTGAATTTAAATTCCATCAGCTGATGCAGTGGGATTTTAACCCACTGCCCCAGATTAGCCTAGGCACCTGGATTACTAGTACAGTGACATTACCACTATACCATCAGTTCCCTACATTGTTTTTCTGATTTAATGATATATACTCGCAGTGGGCAATGAGGTGCTCAGATGTCCCATAGTGTAAACTCTTAATTTGGAACGTGGTAAGACCACGACGCCATGTAAAGTTTGTCCCCCTCATCTTAAGTCCAACAAGCAAAATCAAAAACAACTGGATGGCAGGGGGTGGGGGTCACTCACAGTTGTGATAGACGGTAATAATCAAATGGCCAGCTGGCAGGATTTGTCGTTGGCTGGTTCCTCAATTTAAGGACTATGTGGTCCTTGGGATATATCGTAGGTCTCCACATGACTGATCAGTCTAATTTTCGACTCGTCGATCTTTAGGAACATGGGGGCACAAAGATCCCATGAGATAGGGGATGCAGAGGGCAAGAATGGCTTCCTTTCCTTTCTTCCTTCCTCGTTCATTGATGTGCCTCAACATTAAGATGCGAATTCAAAAACAGTGATAAAGCTTGATGGACAATTGTTACCTTTGTGAATGAATGGTGGCAAGCATTTCCCAATTATTAACGTCAATGCTCAGCACTTTAAGGAGAGGTTCAGGGACTTTATCCTGCCATGGCCGTTTAAAAGTTGAATGGAAAGAACCTGATGGGGATAATTTTCAACCACACGGACACAATGTCCAGTCCATCGAAAAGGACGTGCGGGACTTTTACTTGAATACTCAGAGTTGACTTCAAGATGCACCTTAGCATTTGCCGGTCTTTCCAATAAACCTGAAGGATGTGATGGAGCCACTGCTGGTGAGATTTCTGTAGCATTCTTATGAGTTATTGACGCATGATAACTGTACAGGATGTGGTGTCTTTGAAAGAAAGGGTTTGATGATTATGTGATTGTTTCTTAGTTAACAAGCTGTCTATTGTTCAAGACATCAGGAATAAAGAAGCTAAAATGTTAGGTCCCGCTAAGATTCTTGGAGAAAGGGAGGGCAAAAAGAACAATAAAATCTGCAAAAGGTCAATGGGGATTAGTTTAACAGACATTGATCACTGAGACAATGTCTATATTTCTGTTCACTCCATATTCCCTTCCATTTAGTCAGCCTACAACTTTCTCTTCTTACCTCTTTCGTTCTGAAGTTACTGACCTAAATTAGGCTGCACATTCAGAGGTTCTGGAAGCTCTCTGATATTTTGTCAAGTGAAGATCCTTTGTCAACATTATGGGGCAATGCAACTGAGACAGAACCTGTCTTTCATTCACTGCCCACATGTGTACACTTGAAAGCAGGGTACCCTTATGATTTTTTGGAACACTTTGTCAGGGACACTGGTTATGACTGTAATGCTTCCACTCTTACCCAAGCTTAAATCAAATTACACTTGACAAGCATCAGGGATTGAACAAGTATCATTTTTTGGTCTATGTGGCTCAGTGACATTTTGAACTGAGTGTTCTTGAATATTGATATTAAAAATAGTCCAAAGTCAGAAATTTACAAATGATTGGCAAAGCAGATTCACTTGTGCTATGAAGCAAAGGTTAACTCTTCCTGCCATTGTGCAAGTCTAACTCTCCCGAATCTGGAAACCAGGCAAGAAAATGAATCAAGAAACAGAAACGCAGATAGAATTTAAGAGCTGGGAGTACAAACTCTTTCAAACAGCAAACATTACCCAATGGACTTGTCAGCCCAGCGCTGCTCACAAATAAAAACAGCACCTTGTGAACTGAAGTTACCTGAGCCCCCAGCCACTGACTTGGGCTGGCTTGAACTGGCTCAGCTCAGAGGAATGACATAGGTGCAAATCCTTATTTGGTGGAAGAGTATTGAGGTAATCCTAACAGTGGCCTTGGAACAAGCCTATAATAAAAAGACACAGGCTCGCCAAAGAGAAGACATCACAGTTTTGGATTTCAAGGGTGCCAGCAGCAAAAACTCCAGAGAACAACCTTCATGCTTGGTAGCATGGAGATTACATCGAGGATCTTGGAGATTGCCTGGCCAGTGGGAGCTGTTATTCTTGGCTATTAGCTTTTAAATCCTTTGACTGTTCAGAGAGTGTCAGAGAAACCTAAGAGTGTGTGCACATAGATTTCAGTCTTGGATGGATTGCATGCCTGCTGTTAACCTTTTTTTAACAAAACAGTGTGAATTGTATGTCTACTTTCACTAAACTAATAAAGTTAGTGGTTAGCTGATACAGATTTGACTCTTTTCCTCTTTGTGCTGAGCCAATAACTGCTGCCGAGAGCGGTAACTGGGCAACAGACTAAAAGCAGGTGAGAACATAAATTCCACAGGCAGCCTGTAAACTCAACTTTCTGTCAAAGAATCAATGTATCAGTGAATTATTATTCCCACCCTCACCTCTTTAGTGTTTGTTCACTAACACTTAACATAAAACAATTTTTACACAAGATACTCTTCAATTAGGTAGATATGGCTTTGCAATCTCATATAGCCAACCACAAACAAATAATTTTCTCTGCATTTATCCTGTTAAGCTGCTGCAGCTTTGCTAGAAGCATATTGAAAGTCTCTCTGATTTGTGTAAATGGGTTTTCTGATACAGTTCTAACAAACTTACAGCAGTGATGGAAAAATTTGGAGGAAATCGCCTGACTGACAAGAAAAGTTGTGGATAGGAGAGAGACAAAATCAGAAGGAGACAGGAGTTGTGAAACTTAGATGAGACAAAGTTTAAAAAAAAGGAGTAATCTACAGATAGGGCAGTGAGTGAGAATGAACAGAAGAAAAGCTCTACAAGCAAAGATAAGGACAACAAAACAAAAATCAAATTGTAAAAGGATAAACAAAGAAAGGCCTAGAGAGTCTACCTGTGTGTAGTGCCACAGTGATAAAGACAGATTCAGTCAAATTTTAACCCACTCAGTGGGAGTGGGACTAACACATAGTTGCAAGTGTCTGCCGATACTTACAGATTATAGTCCTGTTTCATTGTTGCTTGCCTGTTGCCAACTGAACCAAATTAACTTTTAAAAAAAGGCGATGAAGGTGCTCACTGGAAACAGGCAATGTTTCTTGAACGTTTGTAATTCACTATTCACAATTTCGTTAGGAAAATGTATGTTTAATATCAAATAGTTGAGGTAACTCCCAATGTATAAAGGACTATTATTTTCAGATGGCCATGGGAAGCAGAAACTAGACAATCTTTTTTGAGGCGCCAGAGACTGTTTTATCAGGTTAATGTGAAAATGACAGAGAAAATGGATCATTTCACCAATTCCACATACACCAGTTTTCAACCACAGCTGGATGGGGAACAAAGATGTTAGTATGCCCAAAGCTCTCTTACGTTTCCCCCTAGTTTACTAATGTGATTGTGCATATCATAACCATGAGTATGAAGGCACTCTATTAGAATAAATCACTGATATTCATTAATAATTTCTATTCAATTTTTGGAACAGGTTCAATTTGTTGTACATTTGCAGATGAAGTCAGTACTAACTATTGTACTTTTGTATGTCCTTAATGCACAAAAATGTCCACACAATAATGTTAAGGATTAGAAAATAACATAACCAAGTGACCATTGATTCAACAGTAGTCTGGAGGAGGTGTAATTAGCTTTAAAGCTCACACTCACCCTCTCCAAATCTTGTCGAAGATGTGTGAAGAGCCGCAGTCGCCGGTATAAGATGTCCTGTTCTTGCTGGGCGAGATTGTCCACTTCATCAGTTTTTGGAGCCAGCAGCGGCTTGTTGAAATTTGACTTTCTCTTGAGTCTCCAGTACTGATAGAAAAAATCCACCAGGACATCAGACATCTGCAGCTGCTGGGCCACATCGGAGGGATTTACTAGTTCATAGAACTCCTCCTCAAGTTGTTGCAGCTTCTGTTTCCTCAGGCTTGCTTTCTCCAGGTCACACTCGCTCTGATTCACCTCCACCATCCCTTCAGTGGTCGCAGAGAGCTGCCGTGCCTCATTCAATTTGCTCATGGCTTCGTCCCGTTTGCTGCAGGAATTGGTGATAGTGCTGCTGTGATCCAGGCAATAGGACTTAAACTTGACTTCATCATTCTCTGCAAGAATAGTCCTCATTTCCAAATTATGGTCAAATGCACATGTCACATGGAATGCTGTTATACAGGAAGCCATTGAGCACTAGAATGAGGAATAAAAGTAAATACTCATCAGTATAATGATACTCTTATTAAGAATACTTCAAAGGGAACATCGAAGCCTGCAGCATTTTATTCTGTTTATGGTTTTCGATTTTACCTCCAAGGTGACCCCATTTTCTGATGATGACAGTACAGCTTCAACATGGGGCGTGTGGTGTTAAGTATGGTTTAAAACTTCAAACCACAGACTATAATGGAAACAAAAATCAGTCTTTCTGGGATTTACACACTTAACTATTTCACCCTTTGGTACTAACATTTGAAGATATTAAAAGTAAACTGTTTGAGACTAACAGCTTGCCAATTTAATCAAATGGCAAATGTAGCTGCAAACAATTGGCATAAAACTGTTCCATCTGTTTTTAATGCTTCTTCATCCAAAGGATATGTTTTCAATTCTGATTTTTGAATCTGATCAGAAACTGTTTGTCTTCGATCCATTCAAATGCCTCTGTCATAATGCTTCTGAGGGGTTCCACGGCTTGTCTGACGTTCCATCAATTATAGCTTTGGATAACATCCCCTAACAAGTTGCAAAATTAAGCTAATCAATCAACATAACTGTGGCCCCTCACCACCCTTTGAGCAGAAGAGAAAAGCTGGCTGGCTAATATTCAAACTCTGAAAAATAGGAAAAGCCTTTTCCCAATATTTAAGGAATTGCAAACTTCATTTAGTTGAAGTAATCCCATTCTTCTGAAGCATCCTACAGAACTAGCCATTCTAAATAGGCCAATAATATTATCCTGAGGATTTGCATCTTTCTATTGTAACTAAGTCCTGCCCCGCTGCACTTCTGTTGGTGGAAGAGCGACAGCCTTACTTCAGTTCCAACCTGAGGAATAGCTCACTCTGGTAAGAAAGCCCAGGATTGCCAGTGCCAAGGTAGATGAGAATGTGAAATTTATGACCACATAATTGGGGTTCAGGTGATTACTATAGATCTATTTAAAAGGAAGCTAGATGAATGAATGAGGGAGAGAGTAATAGACGAGTTCTGTTGATTGAGCCAGACAATGTAAGGTGGGAGATGCTATATCACTTTAAGAAGCTAAGTCACCAAGATACAGCGTATGTGACTAGTAGCCATCGTCTACGTAGCTTGCAGTATGTAGTGTGAGGGCAAGTTGCTGTGCTTTCCTCTTGTAGTAGTTGCTGAACTTCTGTAACAAAGCTACCTGCTGTGCAATCCTATAACAGATCTTCAAATAAACAGAAGCTATTAACAGTCCTGGTGGGAAATTGGTAAATTTGTGAATGTTAACACAAAGCACATGAGGAGCACAAACACTAGACTAGATCTGTTGGGCCAAACCTGTTTCTGGGTTGCAAATTCCATGTAAAAGTAAAACCAAAGTTATTACAATTAACTTTAATAGCATGAAATTTCTTTAATGTGAGAACATTCAAACATATCCGTAATAACACTGCATGCAAGTTTTAAATTGGCCCTCACTTTGTTATGTCTATGCCTTTATCCCTCCATTTCTCCCCTGTCAATTTTCTCCTTTCTCCTGGCAGTCTAATGGGATACAGTTCTCCAAGTAGCAGTGGTCTATGGGTAAATGACAATCTGTAACATATGAGCTTAGACAGTGATCACTGGGGACTGTTTGCCCACAGATGACATCACATTGCAAGCCTGATTCTGTCTTCAGTCTATAAAGATGCACATTTGGAAAATATTGTTCAGCAGACATCAGTAGTGGAAATCGAGATGAATTTTCTTCCTCAATCTGGAGTGCTGTGTCAACCTGCAAACCTCTTACTGTTGCTTGTTGTTAAGATCAGCTAATTTAGCACAGATTAGGCTGGGAAGGCAGATCTAATTTGGAGCATTGTTTGTATGAGTCAGCCATTCAAAGCCTTAATAAACTGTCACCACTAGGAGAATCCAAGACAATTACATTCCAAGTTTCCACACAGATGTAAATTCTCTGTCTACGATCAGCCAAAACAAAGGTTCAGACAAAGAAGCAGCGAGTTAATTATCAGACAAGGTTTAACATGGCACTTTAATCACCTCTTAAACTCCTACTAGAACAAATGGTATTACACTCACATTGTAGTTGGAAAACAATACTGAAAATAGACAAATATATTCATACTGACCTGAATACATGTCCCAGTCCGCTCATTGCAAAGGCTACAAGACAGAGCCCATCTGCTAGCAGGAATGTGTGACACCTTTGTAATGGGTTCCATCTTCTCAGGGCAACCTATACTTACCTAAAAAAAATTGAAACAGTAAAACTTAATGAGAGAGAGCTTGCAATATTTGTGGGCATCTTTTCTTGCCTTTTTTGTATTTATAGGCTTAGGACCTGTCTCGTTACCATAACAGCAGAAATCTTTCCTCAGGATCTGCCCATATCACGTGATTGGTCGCTATAACACATTTGATTCAGTCACTATAAGACATCTGATTCAGGGTGATGCTGTGAACTGGACACAGACTTCAGTAGTCCCAATTTGTGGCCTTATACAGTGATGTTTTGTACACTTATTATAGAACTTATTTTCTATTTTACACTGTTTATCAACCAGAATTGTAACTCAAGTT